GATGAGCGCGCGATCAGAAATAAAATGCAATGGATCAAATCGAATGGCTTTGGCGGCGCCATGGTCTGGACCATTGACATGGACGACTTCAAGGGCGAGGTGTGTGGTGGAAATGTCAAGTATCCATTGATTGGAGCCATGCGAGAGGAACTGCTGGGCATATCGCGTGGCAAGGAGGCCAAGGATGTTAACTGGACGGCCATAGCAGCTACATTTGAAGATATTGAAGAGGTGAGTGTTGAATCTATGGACTCTACTCCGATATTCTTCAACTAGTCTTTGGAAACTAATCTCATAACAACTTTTTCTGCTCACAGAAACCCGAACCCATTCAAATTTCTGTTGATGAAATTCTTAAGAAGGTGCGCAAGCCCCATGTTCAGAAGAAGCAACGCATTAAGTCGGGCGCCAATGCCATCGAACAGAACAGTAAGTGCTGCATGGCAGCTTGTTTGGGGTCGCTTATCTAATCTGCCTTTATCCGCAGCTCGTCCTGCTCAGGTCTTCTGTTATTTGACCAGCTGGTCGGCCAAGCGTCCAGGCGCTGGTAAATTTGAGCCGGAGCACATTGATCCAAAGCTCTGCACGCACATCGTCTACGCGTTTGCCACCTTGCAGGATTACAAGCTCACGGAGGCCACGGACGATGATCCGGAGAACTATGAGAGTGTGATTGCATTGCGTGACTCGAATCCCGACTTGCAAATTCTGCTGGCCATCGGCGGCTGGGCCTTTGGCTCCACGCCCTTCAAGGAGCTCACCTCGAACGTGTTCCGCATGAACCAGTTCGTCTATGAAGCCATTGACTTTTTGAGAGATTACAAATTCAATGGATTGGATGTTGATTGGGAGTACCCACGCGGGGCCGAGGATCGTGTGGCTTATGTGAATCTGCTCCGGGAGTTGCGCGTAGCCTTTGAAGGCGAGGCGAAATCCTCAGGTCTGCCACGCCTACTGCTCACTGCTGCAGTGCCCGCCTCCTTTGAGGCCATAGCCGCCGGCTATGATGTGCCAGAGATATCGAAATACTTGGACTTCATTAACGTGATGACCTACGACTTCCACGGCCAATGGGAACGCACAGTGGGCCACAATTCGCCGCTCTTTGCCTTGGAATCGGCTACGGGCTATCAGAAGAAATTGACTGTGGACTACAGCGCACGCGAGTGGGTGAAACAGGGCGCACCCAAGGAGAAGCTGCTCATTGGCATGCCCACCTATGGCAGGAGCTTTGAGTTGGTCAACGAAACACAGTTCGATATCGGTTCCCCCTCATCGGGTGGCGGCAAGACGGGCAAGTTCACCAACGAGGCGGGCTTCCTCAGCTACTATGAGGTCTGCTCCTTCCTGGCTGCGGATAATACTACTCTGGTCTGGGACTCCGAACAGCAGGTGCCCTTCGCCTACAGAGGCAACCAGTGGGTGGGCTTCGATGATGAACGTTCGCTGAAAACCAAGGTGAGACCAACAAAAAATCCTCAAACTGAAAATTTGCCTAATTGCTTAAAATGTTTCACTCTTTTCTAGACGGAATGGCTGAAGGAGCAGGGCTTTGGTGGTATCATGGTCTGGTCTATTGACATGGACGACTTCAATGGACGCTGCGGCAATGGCAAATATCCGCTGCTAAATGCCCTCAACGATGAGCTGAAGGACTACAAGGTGGCGCTCGAATATGATGGACCCTACGAGTCTCATGGCCCACGCGGCGCCTATACCACAAAGGATCGTAAGTACTGAATGGGAATTAATGGAGAACAAAATTAGATTAAATGAATTTGCTTTTAAAGCCCATGATGTGACCTGTGCGGAGGAGGACGGCCACATTAGTTACCATAAGGATTGGGCCGATTGCACGCATTACTATATGTGCGAGGGAGAGCGCAAGCATCATATGCCATGCCCTGCCAATTTGGTCTTCAATCCACAGGAGAACGTTTGCGACTGGCCGGAGAATGTTGAGGGCTGCCACGCCCCCACGGAGGCGCCTGCTTAAGCAACGCGAAAAGGGATTTTTAAATAAGACGAAGCTCTGTCTGGGCTGCATTGGCCTACGCAAGTTGTTAATACATACATACATACATTATTGAATGATGATAAATAACCCTCGACAACTACCCTGCCCTCCGCCCCTAAATTTAAGTGCAAAACTGCCACGCCAACCCCCGTACCCTGTTCCCCAACTAACACGACAAATACTCAAAACTTTGCTCAAATTCAGCTGAATTTTTTGTACTAAATATAAGATTTAATTAAAGCTTAAGTTTAAGTAGTTTATATGATGAAGTAGCTCAAAAGGATTGCACAACTATGTAGACGTGAACACACACTCACACACACATATATCTATACAATCTTGTATACACCATTTTCCAAGCTTTCTCGCATTTGCCGTTACAATTCGAATTCGAAAATCAAGGGTATTTTAGCAACGCGGCCGAACAACTTTTATATAATTAACTGTGATAATCACATAAGAACAAGCATCAAAATAACAACTGCAACCAATTTTTTTTAACAAAAACAAAAATATGTAAACAAAAGTTTTTTATAAAAAATGATTCCACAAATTGCCTTAAATTCTGCCGCACACACATTAACAATATTTAACCCTATGCGAAAAAATCTAACACGAAATGTTGTACATTTTCTAAAAATTTGTATTATACGTTGTAATTACTTAGTTAAAATAAAACATGTCCAAAAAGTAAACATTAATTATTTTTTCATGGTTATGTATTAATAAATGGCCCGATTTTGCAATCAGGCACTAGCAAAAATTATTTTAGACTCATTAGAGTGCTCCTCTCCACGGAAATCTTTAGTAAAAGGCGAAAGATTTATTCGACAACTGAAGAGAAGCCAGAGTGACGAAACAACGCACTACAGGGAGTCTACCATGCACTCACAGCCTAAACCGTTTGGGAATTATACTGTGCGCGACTGTTAACATCAAAGAAATGTTGTAGTATGCTTTGCGGCGCGTGCAAAACCACCACCAACAGCCAATTTCTCTTTCGGCAATTGCGCATGTGTAAAAATAGAAAGTTTATAGCTGCACACGAATTCACAAATGGTTTTAGCTGCTGGTCAATGAATGCTAACTAGAATGACTGTATAAAGTTATCGCTTCTCGGCCTTATGGCTAAGATCAAAGTGTAGTATCTGTTCTTATCAGGTTAACATCTGATAGATCCTCCATCGGAGGACAACAAATGTTAAACTGATTTTTGGAAACAGACGGAGTGCTAGGAGCTTGCTCCACCTCTGTCGCGGGTTGGCCTGGTATTGCAGTACCGCCAGGATTTCGGCCCAACTGAGTAATAAATTAAATTAGTAATTAACATTTAATATCTGGTGAGTTATTAAATTGTTTACGAATTTGCTGTCTGTTGATAGAAAAATAACTCAATTTTGTTTAAACATTTTATTATTTTTTTTATTGGTTTTTCTCAAAAAGATTTTCTTTTACATTTTTGTGTTTTTGTGGGTTTTTCTCGTTTGTTTTTCTTTCTCTCTTTAATCATAAAATTTTAAAATTAATTAATTAGTCTTACTTTGAAGTACACAATAACTTAATCAAGAAAAAAGTACGAGTATGCATTTTTATGCCTGAAACAAACAGAAAAAGAGAACAAAAAACACAAATAGCTAGAAAAAATAGTGGGAAAATAGAAAGTAAGCCTAAAACATGACTTGGTGGTGTGTATAAAAGGTTCCAACAACAAAAACAACGGTAAAAGATTTATGTATATATGCATATCGAGAGCAGCATAAGCCGAGCATATTTAGCCCAAATCTCATAAAATTGTTAATGGATTTCTTTAAAACATAAGTCCTAGGCATATTTTACAAAACTTCTTTGACGTTTTTGCTGGTGGTTTTTTGTTGACGTTTCTTGGTTTTGTTTGAGTGAAGCCATTTTGTTTTGGATTTAAATAAGTTACGTGATATGAACCCGGGCGCCAGTCGGGTTTAGCTTTTAAAATATATGGTATATATATATAGACAGACTTTTAAGTAAGTTTTTCTTTTGTTGTACTTTCAAAGTTTGGAGCGTGCATTAAGGTGTGTGTGTGTTAAATGATATATAAACCATTATTAATATTGCATTCTGAAAGACCGAAGACCATATCAAGAGTTGTACATGTAAAAAAAGAGGAGTATATATATGTATATACATATCACGCTGTGTGTGGCCTAGACGTTTCCGTTTCCGTTTCATTTTCATTTTGTTTCACTTGTTTTTAATTTTTGTTTTCGTTTTGTTTTGTTTTTGAGCAACTTGCGAAGTCGCGCTGTGCGTCGCTTTGCATGTTCTTTTATCAGCTTCTGCTGCCTCCTGCTCTTTATCTGCTTCTGCTTAATACAACAATTCTTATACTTTTTACAAATACATAGTTTCATTTGCAATTGCATTTTTTCCTTTAAAAAATATTTCGCTATAAAAATATTAGTTGAAAAATAAGAAATGTGTTTTTGTTTTTGTTTATCTTTCTTTCTTTTTTGTTGTTGTTCGTGTTGTAGAGTTTTGTTTTTGGGGGCAGGCGCCTAGACATTTTTAGTTGTGGTTCCTTGATTTTTATTTACTTTTTTTTATTTTTCAAATTATTTTGTTGTTGCTTTTGTTTTTTATTTTTACAATTTTTTGTTTAGTTTCGTTTTTAGACTTTTCAATACATATAAATACTTTCTTTCTTTCATACTCTTCTGTAAAAATAGATCAACTTTTTGCCTTTTTTTCGTACTTTTTTGTTTTCTTTTTTTTTGTATTTTAACAAATTTTGCAAGTTTTTTTTTCTGTTTTTTTTTTCTTTTGTTTACATTTTTTATGATTTTTATTTTTTGACATTTTTTTGGAGAGATTTCGTTTTCAAAAAGTTGTTGCTCCTTTTCTGTTTGTTGTTGGTTTTTCTGTTGTTGTTGTTGTTTTGTATGTAAGTTTAAATGCCTAAAATGTAGTTAAGAGCTAACATAACATTGGATATCAGTTGTTTTTGTTTTTTTTTCTTTTATCTTTATCATCATATCTTTTTGCTTGGCTTAACAATATAAATCTGCGTATGTAGTTGATTTTGTATTATAATTATTATTATTTATTATTTGAAGTTGTTTTTGTTTTTCTTTTTTTTTTTAATTTTATACTCTTCATTTGCTTATTTAAAGGGCATGCGCCAAAATGTCTTAGTATAATGAATGTTTTCTCTTATATATCTTAAACCATTTTAATCGTAGTTGCTTGTGGTCGAGTACGGGAAGTTTGGGTATTTGGGAGAGGGCGGGCATGGGCATGGGCGTGGCTAAGTGAGCTGCGCGTGTTTAATAATTATTGTTGTTTCCATTATTGTTGTTGCTGTTGGTTGTTGCTCAGTTGGCCGCACTCATCAGTTCGGAAAACGCATTTTCCAGACAATTCTTGAGCTCAGCATAGGAGACAATTAGAACCGATTGCTCATCACGCGACATCAATTGCACCTGCAAAATAAATGGACAAAGTTTATTAAAGGTATATAGATTTAAGGTGTAGCTTAACGTACGCGCTCGATGGAGCCCGCGTCCAGTTTATTGAGGCATTGTACAATGTGCGCATGATCTAACCAGGGTCGGCCATCCTCGGTGACGGAATGAAATAGAAAATCACGGAATAATTTCAGCATATATCTATCACCAGTCTCTGACCAAGTGCAGTCCAAGTTGAAGCTGTGTACATGGAACATATGTGTATAAATGTATTAGTAACACATTAATATTGATTTTCAATTTAAGGCCACGTACTCGGGTCGTTCGTTGATGCTATTTAGTTTAACTAATATGCGATATAGTCGCCCGTTCTCCATCTCCTTGGCCAACTCATCCTCCTGCATATCCACCTGTGCTTGCAGCGCATCCAGCTGCGTATAAAAACGAGCCCCAATCATGGGCATCAGATCCGTTACAGAGCGGCGGTTATTCGTGGTGAAGAGGTAACTATTTGATGACATAGAATACAAATTCAATTAACTATTGTCTCGGATTTACAGATCGAATTGCTTACACAATAAAATTACGTAGATCGGTGGAGTAGTTTCTGGTTACCATATCAATGCTCGACTGCACATTGTCTCGCTGCACAGACTGCAAACAGCGACAAGCTAGCGCTAATACTAAGCGACCCAATGCAGTTAGATCGTCCTGCAAATGACAATAGATTAGCTTCTTTGAGAAGTATACAAGTTGACTCTGCTCACCTGTTGATGCATATTGACCAATGCTAAGGGATTGGCTGCATTGGGATCGAATTGCGTGATATCTGAGATGCAGCACGAGCTGAAGCGTACACGTTTCCCTGTCACAATTATCTTCGTGGGATCTAGTATTCTAGAAAAAATAAATTAATTTAAAAACTAATACTATCTACAGGGTAACTGCAACAGAACATCTGTTACCCGAGTAATTTTGAAAGCTTAACAAATTCTTAAGCTGTCTATGAGATATCATATTAGCTAAATTTTACATCTCTTAAACAAATTGGACTTAAGTTTTTTAAAGTTTCGTAACTCCGAGTTTTCTTTTGCACATTCCTAGCTAGTTATACTAGTCAAACTCACTTGCAGGCTAGTCCCGCTTGATGTATGGCTCTCAGGCCCGCGGTTAGCTGCATGATGATTGACCATATAGTCGATTCGGGCAGCAAAGGTCCGTTATTTGTGCGCTGCATGTTGCTCTTATGACTGCAAAATATGTGAAAATTAGATACATAATCATAAACGCTTTATAGTAGACTCACCTGAAGGGTCGTGCCTCGCCTTGGAATGGATCTGTGTAACCGTTGGTCTCTGGCGCTGGCGTAAAGTATTTGGCTAGCAAAGTCTGTGAGCCGGGATAATAGTCGTACACTAATACTAAGGCTAAATTGAGGAATACATGATATGAGTACAGTGAGGACGCGCTACAGTCAATACTTACAGTTATCACCAAATGCTTTTGTCGTGAACAACTCACGCAGTTGAACAACGTTCGTGTGCTGCAGCTTCTTCCACATCTCCACGAGCGCCATGCATTTTGTGGACTGCAAGCGAAAGCCTGAAGCAACGAAGATTGGAGAGATTATAGAACAGCTAAGTGACATACTCTATATATGTAATGGGCAAAGGGTATTCAACTGACCGTGTAATCTTCTCAGGCAGTACTTGAACCCTGTGCTATTGTGCGTCGCCCTGTACGTGCTCGCCGGCAGCGTTAGTTTCGTATGCATTGGCTGGGCCGGCGGCTCCAGTGGATAGAGCGCATGATAGTTATCCACCTCGAGTGGCAACGCATGCTGCGCCGCCTCAGCAGCATCCATTATCAAATTGGAGATCTCATTGCGGCCCAGAATATCGCTGCGCATCTCGTCGGGCATGAAGAAGGCCGACTCTAGCTGCGTCTTTGGCTGCATCGCAATCACATTCGATGCCGGACCCGGATACACATGTCCCGCATACAGCAGCTGCGAGGGCACAGCACTTAAAGGTGCCACAGCACTGACAACGCCATGATGTGCCGGATGTGCAGGATGTGCGGCATCTACCACAACCGAATTGACAACCGGCTGGCTGTTCTGTGCATTGGCAGTCGGATAAAAGTAAATGGTGCCCCCCACGTTTTCCTGTCAAAGCCAAACAATGAAGACAAAAAAATGAGAATTGTAAGTAAAATGCTTGAAAATTTGAAGTTAGAGCTGAAACCGAAATAACTTGGATTTGTTACATCGATATATCCAATTCATATGAATATATACACATCATATTCCCTTGCTTGAATATTTTTCAAATAGCCAACTTTAGTTACAATCTATAAGACCTAAGCACAAGTGCAAAGTAATTTAGACTGCTTTTAGAGTAGAGGCAATACCCCTATTCCATGCCTATACTGAATATTCCTTTAATTGAATAGGCTATTCAAATAGCCAACTCTAATAATCTTATAATCTGCATAAATTTAAAGAGATTTAGCGTGCTTTGAGAATAGCAGGAATATCCCTATGCCAAAAGTTATCAAAAAAAAAAGAGAAAACTTCGATTTATAATCGATTTCAGAATACCTATATAACACATTAAATGTCCATATATACAAATATTGAATAATCTATGTACCAAATTGTATAGCTCTAGCTCGTCTAATCTTTGAGCTTTCCACATCTCAAATAGGTTTTTGCATAATTTATATGATGTTAAAGAATATATCGATAAACATCCCATCTCTAAAGAAATCTAATTTATTATTAGGATAAATATCTAAAATAATTTGTTATGCGCATTGAATTTTTCGAGTTTGATATTTGATATACCTCGCACCACTGATCTTATTCCTCTCCTAATGATATTTTACCCACATACTCCCATCTCTAGTAGTACAACTCACTTGATGCACGCTGGCTGGCAATGTGGTGGGTATGGGCGATGCTCCATGTGGCGTCATGCCGTGGGGCGGCGACTTCTCGCCTCCGATTAGCGCCGCCGTCGGCGAATCCTGTCGCATCATTGCGGCTCGTGCTTTAAGCGGCGTTTGGGCGGACATGCTGCTTACGAAGGGAGCCGCCGCAGGATTCGGTATTATCGCTATGGGCGCCGAGCTGCCGACCACTGAATCGTTAACCAATGAAGATTGATGTTGCTGTTGCTTTTGTTGCTGCTGCTGCTGCTGTTGCTGTTGCGTTATGTTAACCGTTGCCACAATGTTCGTCTTCTGCATCGAGAGAATGGAAGCGGAGCTGCCACCATTTGACACTTTGCTAGATGAGCCAGAGACAGCGACGGCAGCTGCCACCGTCGATGACGATGAGGAGGACGATGTGGAGGAGGCGGGCGCTGCAACAGTTGCAACTGCGGCGGCAGCGGCGGCGGCGGCGGCGGCTGCTGCTGCTGTTGTAGTTGTTAACCCATTGACACCATTCAAACCATTATTCATGTGATATGGCGGATAGAAATTAGGCGACGAACTTATGCGCGTTGGAATGAATTCGGGCGATTGGGGTGTTACCTAAATTAATTTATACATAAATTAATTAATATAAATCTACAAATGAATAGAAAGAGAACACAAAACATAAAGGTTACAGTCGTCTGTAGACGACTGCACAATACTCTGTTTACAATGTAAAGACATTTAAAGGGCTTGAGAGCATCAGCTATTTACGTGTTGACTGTTAACAGAGTGACTCTTAAACTGTACGAGTGCTAACAGAGCGACTTCAAACTGTTATGTAAAGCTGTCAGATGCATTCTATACTCTTTTAAGTATCTTTAATTAATGTTTATAGAAAATCTGTTGTGTTTACTTAAAGAAAGTATTATAATATAAGGAATTCCATGAGACATTATCGAAAATATCTAAATTTGGTTTAGTTTAATATGTATAAGAAAACGTATTGATTTTTATTATTCGCACGACATTTTATTTCTGTATTTCTATAAATTATGCATTCTTCACATTCAATAGAAATTATATCCCCGGTTTTACTTGGTAAACAGAGTATTTGAAACAATAATAATAAACATTAAATCACGCGCAGTCTAGAAATAGGAGAGGGTAGTTGTTTTGTTGTTGTTGGGGTTGGAGCTAACTACTAACATGAATTTCAGGGCTAGGGGTTATACGAGGGGGTGACAAGATGACAATTGTAGTTCTTGTTGTTGTTGCTGTTGCTTTTACCTGAGACTTTTTATTAACAGCTAAGGACGCGTCCAAGTTAAGCAGTGAGAACCCATTACCGTTACCGTTAACGTTAACATTACCGTTATTCAGCCCATAGCTCGACGTTTGGGCAACATTCTGTCGATTCTATCGCCAGCAGAGCAAGACACAAATATATAAATTTATTTTTATAGACAGAAATCATGCGAGAAGACAGAGAGAAGTGAGTGAGAGAGAGACAGAGAAAGAGAGAGAGAGAGACATTGAATAACAGCGAAAGATGTAGAGCAATTTGATTTTATACATCTATATTAACTGCAGTATGGTTGATTCGTTCAAATGAACTACTGAACCAGTGCAATTCACCATGAGCAAGATATGCTCATTAATGACACGTTCTATTGAATCAGCTGTTCTGTCGTAGTTTTCAGGTGAACAAACGAATGACTGGCCAAAATAACTGGCCAATGAACTGCTGAACTGAATGATTTAGTTCACGATTCGGTAATGAATGATTGCACATATATTTATCAAATTGAACGACAGTTCGCAACTAATTTCTATATCTATAAATAAAGATAGTTATAAATATATTTTATATATTTTTTTATTGTTTTTCTCTTGACATTTCCATAAATTTGTAAATATATTTCATTCACATTAAAAACAAGTAAAATCCATGCACAAATTATATTACTTATGCATACATTAATATATATATATATATATATATATATATATATATATATATATATATATATATATATACATATATATATATATATATATATATATATATGTATATAAGCAGAGCTACAGTAAATTCTCAATAATGTGTATGTTGCACAGAAAAAAGTCGGTCAAGTATACAGATATATACAATATGGAATTATAGATTGAGCAAATGAAATTGTTTCAAGCAAATTGAGTGTAAACAAATATATAAAAGTATAATTAAAAAATAAAAACACACACATAGACAATCTATTCGCTGAGCAAAAACAAACTTCAGCTGTTAATTCAACAGCTGTTGTCTAATATAGACATATAGATACATTTATACATATATATATATATATATATATATATATATATATATGCATGTGTATAAGGCAGGGTCATTCGTTTAAGCCGCCTACTTCGCTTTAAAGCTTTTGCATGGCAATTGAAACCGCACGACTCTCAAACTGTCTAACTGAAATGCGTCGCAAACTGTGCACGCAATATAACAGCTTATAATAATAATAATAATAGTAACAATAATAAACAATGCTTACCATATATGTGGCTAATTTACTTTCAGAGGGTATACCATTTGGAGGTGAAAAGAAAATTGGATCCATAGCAGCCGTATCTGTAAAGAGATAGCAAGAGCGAAAGAGACGGAGTGAGACAAATATAAATGATTAGAAATCAATTAAATAAACATGAACATGATTGCTGACTGCTCTACATGCTTGGGAGTGTGTGAGAGTAAAAGAGAGCGCATACTCTTCTTTAACGTTCTGTTGATAGTTTTGTTTTGTTTTGTGTTTTTGTCGACGCTATCGATAAAACCGATAACGCGGGCGCGCGCTTATTCTTGGAGCAAATGCAGAGAGCGCTGTTGGTGTTGTTATTTACTTGCCTTTTTAGAGCGTGTAAATAAAAGCAAAGACGCAATTCGCTCGAGGCGAATATCAACAAAAACAAAAAGCACGCAAAAAATATTAATGACAAAGAACAAACTGTGAAATTTGCGTCTCCGTTTTAAAAGGTGGTGCGATGAAAAGCAAAAACCAGCTAAGGCGATTCACAAGCACTAACACACACCCATATATATATTCATATACATATACATATTTTGGGAAATGCCGCCATTATGACTAATTGGTATTTTTTAGAAACAGTTCGTGTAGGCCCGTCAAACTGTTAAAGTTCGGATGTTTTTCCAACTTCATTTGTGGATTGGAAGTTAAAGAAGCAAATAAAAATAAACTATTTAGATATGGATTGTATTTGCAATGCATTTGTCGAATCAGAGGGAGAGGGAGAGAGAGAAAGAGAGATAGTGAGGTGGAGCATAAAGATTTGGAATGAATTGTAACTGTTACAATATGGAGGCTATTTACTTGCACTAAATATAATGCGGGTTAGCTTTAAACGTAAATACAATTTTAAAAAAAAAAGTTGATATACATTTTTGCATGCTCAGCGAAGTAGTCGACGAGGTGGGCGGCAGGTGTGGTGTGATATGGGCCAATGCCTTTTGGCAGCACAGCAAACGACGCAACAAATAAGATGTATGCATATATGTATATATAAAAAAAAACCCCCAAACGTAAGAATGAATTAAGCGAAAGTTCATTACTTGCAGATACCCTGTAGAGGGACAAAGCTATAGGTATGTATAGGTAATAGAAATTTTATATTTGTTTCATATTTATATGGTTGTTTATTACTATGATATATATATATAAATATATATAAATAAATTAACTGACAGCACTTTTGATAAGGCTTATCAAATGGCATATTTTTGTTTTCAATGGCAAAATGACGCTAAACGAACACAAGGAACTAGTTCATTACGCACATGTTGATTCATTGAACGTATATACCTCTCGTATTGTTATATGTTTATGAATGCTTCAACAAGTGATATTGGCCTTGAAAATATTCGTGCAAGTATCAAAGCGAAATAAAATGAAAAGAAAAAATAATACAATTAAATTAATTTTTTGTGTATTTAGCTGAGTTGGCATCACTTGTGCTTTTTATTTACTTAATTCATTTAACATTTTAGCACATGCAAAACACACGAAAGTAACAAACAACCAAAGCAGTAGTTTGAGAGCCACAAACAGATGTTGCTTACATTTAGAGAGCAATCGAGCTGAACTTACTTGAGCATGGCCAGTGCATGTAAAACCGGTGAGAACAAGATAAGTTCAGTTGCGAGTACATGTAATGCCTCGCAAACTGTAAGTACTGCGCGCACAAATATGTTTGTATTTATATATACATATATATATACATATATATATATATATACAGATAGGTATATGTAAGCATGTGTGGCTGTGCGATTGTCTATATGTCCGCGTGTCTGTGAACGTTTTCACTTTACATAAATTGACTGCTACTGGCAGATTGTTGGCATGACGTCGGCAAAAACAGCAAAATAAATGGTTTTGTTGCTGCTGCTGCTGCTGCTTTTGCGTTTGCGGCGAAACAGACAGCTGTGTTTTGCTTCAAAGATCACGAACGCGTTCATGAAAACGGCACACACACACATATATACGCACGCACACGTAGGCATAAAAAACATTTACACACACTTCATTCAGTTGCCCGAAAGAAGAGAAGATAGTGAGAGAGAGAAAGAGAGAACGAGGGGAGTGAGGTATCCAAGCAATCACAATATTATGTCGTTATGTCACGTTGTATGTCAACTTATATATATGTATATATATATTTGTTCGTTTGTATAGATGCGGCAGCATTTACCGTTATGTATTACGCTGCACGAATATATGTAACGGTATGCAAAGCAAGCACACTCGTAAGCGCAGCGACGAACCGAGCGGCAGCACGGCGCAAACTCAACTGAGCAGAAGAGCGCGCAGGCGGCGGTGGAGTGCGTAAATACGAAAGAATAGAGCGAAATGCTGTTGAGCGTAAGCACTGATGAGAGGCAAAGAGTATGCAGCAGTAAATGAGAAAGCTATCGCTCTCATACCGTGCAATAGCCAACAGAGACGCAAGTGGGCGTGCATCTGTGTGTGTGTAAGTGTGTAAAGGCAGATGCGCCGATAGCTGGCACAGTTATAAGAAGAAGAGTTCTAGTGCGCGATCCCTCTGTCCCTCTCTCTTGTATTTAACATTTTTGTTTACATTTTGTGTGTTGCTTTAGTGGCCGCAACACAGTTTGACAAGCATATATATAATGAGCGAATGCATTGACCCTTTGCATTTTCACGATCATGTGTTAGACTTAACAGCGACCTACCCACCCGTTGTTGTTTACTCGTGTATTATTATTTAATACGTTTGTGTTGTGTTGTGTGTTTTTATATGTTGTCATATTTGTGGATGTGGGCAAATTATCAACTGTTGGCTCTTATATACAAGCACGTGTAGCCATAAACCTATTAGATTTCAGCCTTAGAGAATGGCCCTTAGTTTCTTATCAGTCAACATTTCAATCACAACTATTCGCACTTTATCAACTTATCAATATTTCAATTGAAGCTCATGCACGTTAAGTCATGATTTATGAGAAATACCGAAAAAGAGAGAAAGAGCTATATGCTGTTGAAAAGCTTTTAGGCCTATAAAAAGCTCTAGCTGTAGCTTTGAAGTGTTAGCTGTTCATGTGTCTCAATGTTTTTGGGTTAATTTTCAATTTTATACTGTCAAAGTGCTTTTTAACGTTAAATCAAATAGAGGCATAGCTTCCTAATTGGAAAACTTGATGTATGTTGTATTTAGGGAATCTTAAGTATAAAAAAATGAATTAGGATTAAGCTCCGGAGGGAAAACAAAAGCATTATCAAAAGTTAACTATATTACTATTATCAAATCAATAACATTTTCATAGCAACAATTTATTCCTTAATTTATTAAAAATTTTAAAGTAAATAAATAATTAAACTAAAAATATTAAAATAGATTCCGAAATTACAAGGCCCCGGAGCATTACCCAAGCCACGAGCTTTGCAACGCCTATTAGTGGTGTTTCTTACGCACAGGCCGCTAGAGGTGGACCGTCAAATAAGAATACCACAAGTGACACTTTGTTCACTGAAATGCTTCAGCAACAACAACGTCAGTTTGACGCAATTAATGCCGAGCTCAAAGCGATGCGAGAAGTACAATCCCAACAAGCAACCATGCTAAACAGTTTAATGGCCATCATAACCAAGCTTGCCTACAAATAATGGCTTTACGTGTGGGTATCTGGAACGCCAATGGCCTGAGAAACAAGACTCAGGAACTGGCTGCGTTTCTCTCACAAGAAAACATAGATATAATGTTAATAACAGAAACTCATGAGTGCCCCACTACACAAATTTTCGGATACGAACACTATCAGGCTCATGGTGAAGGAGCAAACTGCTTTGGTGGATCCTCAATCCTCATACGAGCAACAATACCGCATACACCTTTACTGTCAATTTGCAACGCAACAATGCAGGTCTCAGCCATCACCCTGCCTACGTCTATTGGAGCGATCGAAGTTGCGTCAATTTATCTTCCGCCAAACACTGGTCTGTGTGATCATCACATGGAACAGGTTCTAGGCCAAAGGTTGAATAAGACCCTCATCGGCGGCGACTGGAATGGATGGCACCCATTTTGGGGAAGCAATAGTGCGAATCGTCGCGGAGAAGTCATATTTGAGGCGATTCAAAACTTACAATTCAGCATATTGGCGACTGGAGCCCCCACCCGTTACCCAATTAATGGACACAGGCCCTCGGCAATCGACTTCGCTGTCTACAAAGGCATCTGTGACCGGCAATTGACCATTGAAGAATCCTTGGACCTATCCTCTGACCACCTGCCACTAATAGTCACAATCCACGCGCAGCCACAGCCCTTGCCCATTAGGAAACAACTACTGCCAGCAGGATCAGATTTAGGAGTCTTTAGGCGCGAGCTCCATTACTCTTTGCACATAGAAATGGAACTTAACACTCCTGAAGACGTGGACTACGCAGCAAACAAACTGCAGGAAGAAATAGTCAAAGCTGCGCACCAAGCCGCCCCACCATCTTGCCAAACAAGACAACAGTCTCCGTACAACATCCCCCTCACCTTGGAGGCCCAACACCTACTAATACACAAAAGATGGGCCAGGAGACGCTGGTTAAGATTACGCACGCCTGATGCCAAATCCACGTACAACGAAGCCACGAGGCATCTTAAAGCTGCTCTCGCCCTGCTTCAAAAGAGGTGTATCAGCGATGCGCTGGTACGAGCTGAATCGCCCACTGACGCAGAGTTTCAATTATGGAAATTTACAAGAAAGCTCAAACGGCAGCCAATACGTCGACATCCCATTCGGAGCATTTCTGGTTCCTGGCACATTGGTGACGAAGCTCAAGCTGAGGCTTTTGCAAACCACCTTCAAGACCAATTCACGCCGGTGATTACCGCAGAGGCCTCAGAAATCGAAGCAACAGAAGACATCGTTCTCTCGCCCCTCCCAGCTGAAGACCAGATAACTGGATGTACAAAAGAAGAGGTTCTTGAACACATCAGAAGAGTGAAGGCAAAAAAATCCCCTGGATATGATCTAATAAACGGCAGAGTCCTTAGAGCACTGCCTGACTCCACCATAGACTACATAACTATGGTGTACAACGC